GCATTTAACTACATTTTGGGGAGGCATTTCATAAATATTCCCATGCCTTGACAATATTGTCGTAGGCGTATGAAATACAACCTGTGCTAATGTTCTGTCTACATTAACCAAAAAATATTGTTTTTTTTTTGAATTGTGAATAAAAAAGGTTTGTCATTGCTTGGAATAATGATAATAATTTGTTCTATGTTATCATGATAAGGAGAGTCATACGAAAGACAATTGCATTTTTTTATCATGGAACTCATGAAATGTTTAATATAAGCAGTAATAATTACATAAATACTTAGCCGAGTAGAAACCTACTCATACCACTAAATGTTGATTAACAACCAAAACACATAAAAAACACTGAACAAAAATCAGTAATTAACCCTTGATCATTTATTTTTCTTTTTACACAAATTATATGTATCACTGGTAGATTAATACTATTAAAACTTGAGCATAAAATCAAACCAATGTCTATAATTAACTGAGTAGTCGAGATGCCTACCTGTGAAACTCTATCTCGTGATTTGAAATGATTTAGGTTTGTAATTCATATGCATATATATATATACATATATAGTGCTGATGTTTTATGCACTGAATGGTTTAATTGCTTTCATCGCCCTTTTAGGCAGTGTCTTTAGCTCCAACTACTATGTGACATCAGGACTGCCTACTTTATGACTACAGACTAGTTGACTTCGGAGGCACAGCGGTAGAATGCTCGCCGACCACGCCTCACGTGGTCCGGGGTTCGATTTGCGGCCAGCGACGCACTCCTTTACCTCGCTAAGCCAGTAATAAGACTGGTAAAGAGGGAAGGTTGGGCATGAGGCTAGCAACCGCATCCTGTAAAATAAACACTGCTACGGAAACTTCAAGCCACTAGCTTGAAGCCACCCTATGTTCCACTGGTAACGTAAAGGAATAAAAAGAAACTAGTTGATTTATGCTGATATTTATAACTGATTGACGCAATAAGACTGATTCCAGCGAGCCCCGATTATGATGAGGAGCGAAAGGTACTTAAACGAAGACTAACAAAAAGTCTTCGCAAGGACCGTGAACAGTGGTGGGAGACAAAAGCAAAAGAGATGGAAAAGGCATCGGCGATTGGCAAAACCAGACAACTGTTCAGGCTTATCAGGGAAACAGGTGGTAAAAAACAAATGATAAGTGAAACAATCTCCGAGAAAAATGACACCATAATTAGCTCCCAGGATAGACGACTGGAGCGCTGGAAATAACACTATGAGGAGCAGTTTAATTCGCCCACAGCCACACTTAACCTGCCGGACATCCAACACCTCCCTGAATGGGATATAAACACAGGTCCTCCTTCCTCAACTGAGGTTACTAAAGCTGTCACTAATCTGAAGCAAGGCAAAGCAGCGGGACCTGATGGAATGACTTCAGAGATATTTAAGTACGGTGGAGACAGTTTACTGTCTGCATTAACTGAGGTTCTAGGCAGCGTCTGGGAATCAGAGGAAGTCCCATCGGGTTGGTGTAAGTCACTGATCATCCCAATATACAAGAAGGGAGACAAGTCTTCTTGTGATAATCACAGAGGGATTAGCTTGACTAATATAGTATCTAAAATCCTAGGCTCAATAATACTGCGTAGACTAAGTGGTGCTCGGGAGGCACAAACACGAGAAAACCAGGCAGGTTTTAGGCCAGGAAGAGGGTGTATTGATCATATCTTCACCCTTCGACAGATTCTAGAAAACAGGCATTCCTACCGGCGTCAAACAATCATTATATTTCTTGACCTAAAGGCGGCATTCGATTCTGTCGACCGGGAAGTTCTCTGGCGATGCTTGGCTGTAAAGGGAATGTCGAGAAAATACATTGCACTGATTAAGGCACTCTACTCGTACTCATGCAGCCAGGTGAGGGCTTACAGAGAGTTGTCATCTGAAGTGGTGACGACAAGTGGCGTCCGTCAAGGATGCCCATTATCCCCATTACTATTCAACTTCATCATAGACGTACTAATGGACTTAACCCTAACACACTTCAGCGACTCAGGGATTGACTTGCTACCAGGGAAGAATCTCGTTGACTTAGAATATGCGGACGATATAGTCCTTCTAGGCGAGGACTCTGACAAAATGCAGAGTCTACTGAACACCTTGAGCTGCAATCTAAGAATGTTTGGCATGCGATTCGCCCCTGTAAAATGTAAGATGATGCTGCAGGATTGGACTTCACTAGATTAGAAATAGGGGGTGAAGTGGCAGAGCACGTTGACCGCCTCACTTATTCGGGAAGTACCAACGGGTTGATCTCAGACGATATCTCAGCACGAATACAGAGGGCTAGTTTCGCATATGCCAGTTTACGCCGTCTCTGGCTTAGTAGACGTGATATCCGACTATCGACCAAAGGGCGTGTGTACTGCTCAGCAGTCCGCTCCGTCCTCCTTTATGGCTGTGAGACCTGGCTACTGAGAGTAGAAGACATGAAAAGATTAGCTGTCTTCGATCATAGGTGTCTGCGTTCTATCTCCCGCGTGAAGTAGTATAATAAGGTGAGCAATATTGAGATTAGGCACCGGTCGAGTGCTAGGTAAGGAGGGGAAATCAGTCTACGAGGCTGTGAAATTACATCGACTGAGATGGTTAGGACATGTGTTACGTATGCCTATTCATCGCCTTCCTCGACGGGCAATGTTAGCTGATATAGGGCCAGGCAGGAAAAGAGCTAGCGGCGGTCAAACCAAAACATGCCACCAGTCAATGAAATCCACAACAGTTAGTCTAAGCCACGTAGGAAGGTGTAGACTTCCTGACTGGATGGGGTCCTCGGGACGGTAAAATCCAGTGGTTGGAAACAATTGGTGACATGGCTCAAAATCGTTCTCAATGACAGGCGCAGATGCATCCACTCCTTGTGACTTCTGATTTCCAATTAAACTGTTTTGTTCTTCGTTATTACAATTCCTTTGTCTCACACCTCTGTTTACTGTCTATATTATGCATTTCTCCTACTTTCTTCTCTTCCTTTGTGTGCTACATGGAGTGTGGCGACTTGAACTGCCGCACATATGCACAAAGTTCGATGTCGAAAACCGACCGACCGACCGCTGATATTTATTGTCTCTACAATTCCCAGTCTATCTGCAACTGCATATGCCCAATACAAATACTGTGTTAATAAATGACAGTTTTAGGGTAATTCTTCAAGCTGAAAATCAACCTACGATACAGTAATGTTCAATTGTTCCTTTGCAAAGATTCAACTGATTTTAAGTTCAACCACGAATTTACCTTCGAAAACCAAAAAGTAATAAACAGCCATTTTGTTCTAGTTTGGGACGCTTTAGCAGACTACAACTATGCCCCTGCCAGGGATCTAACTCACTGAACATTCGGTAGCTGGGAATCCAGCGGCTGACCTCTCAATTCCAACTTCTACCGATATGCAGTATATAGCGCCACAGCTAACCAATATCACCGCCGCATATTTGTCTTCACACCTGAATTGGTGGATCTCAGTGGTCAAGATTTCTCACTAAAACTCCGTTGTGTAGTTAACTGCTAGTAAGCATTACATTTATTTTCAAGTGTTAGCTTGTAGGGGCTTAATCTAATTAATTTAAGTTTTCATTGATGTTAGTTTGTGATCTAACTTGAAATATCGCAAACTGTTGAAAACTTCGTATAGAAAGCATCCATTATTTGTAAGCATTTTTTTATCTACATCATAAAGTTAGGACTTCATCATAACACGAACAGCAAAAAGAAAACACAAAACTGTGTACAGGAAATGACGTCAAATGAGTCGAGAAAACAAACAAGACATATTTCGTGATTACTAACTTTAAAACACCAAACCTTTTCTTAGAGTATATATAGTGCTCATCATTTATTTATGGCAAACAGGGAATGCTAAACATGAACACTGATTACACGTCTTTTATTATCAAAATTATTCCCTTGAGTTCCGAGTGGTATATACGGCTTCAACAACACATCTCCACTCTCTTCGATTTTCTGCCGTCCTCTACAGCTGGATAGCTCCACGATCGCCCATAATCTCTCATCTCCTCCTCCAAATCACACGATCTCCTCGATATCACCCTCACACCGACGACTCACTCGTCATATCCTATTCGGATTCCACTCAAGAGATGGCTTGTATTGCCTGCGGTGTCATTCGACGGCCTCCTCAGCCTATTCCTGATTCATCCCCGTTTTCTCCTACATATCTGCTGAACGATAGATTCTTGATTAGTTTCTTCCCACCGTTTCCTGCTGCTAATTCTTTCTGGCTGGCTGGCTGGCTGGCAATTTGATCTTCAGTGTGGAGCCAGCCAGCGAAGGCAGCTGCTGATGAAAGTCTGAAGTGACCTGTTAGGAATGCTTTTCGTGACACGCAGTACAAGTTTCTGACCAATATAGAAACACTGACCGACTTCACATCTGTGTTGAAAATCCGAATCTTGTTGTTTATGCTGAAGTGGAGTTCAGAAGGTGTATCTCGCCTTTCCGATTCTGGGTGGCTTTGACATCTTCACCATTGCTGTCACCTGTGGTTAAAACAATGCTTCCTGCATAAGTGAATAGAGTAACCTCCGTCAAATATCTCCCATAAGAGTCACAACTTTTCGTCGATTGCTGAATACCTATAATATCAGTTCTCTGCCATAACCAACAAAAGAAAATATGATATCTATAGTCTAGTAATTTACGGAAGTCTGTTGGACTTCACTAACATATAGAAGATGAGTTCAAACGAGTTCAGTTAGAGCCCCAAATCCCCGTTTCCTTCATCGATAAAATGTAGAAAACACTACCTCTGAAACCTTTGAACAATTATACAACGAATTCATTATAAAGTGTATAGTATTCACATGATAAAACTAGACAAACAAAACTACTGACTGAAATTAATATTACATGTAAACAAACAATAATACTAACTGGATAAAAATTATCAAAATATTTATGCGAAAAGTCGATTATTGAAATGACGAATAAATGGTTTAGAATTCGACTTACTTTAGTCCTAAAACAGTAAGTTCCGTTAACTGACCAATAGACTTCGGTAATTCATCAATTTGATTATAATCCACAAGAAAGCGGGACAGTAATTTACAGTTACTTATATCTAAAAATGTAAGAGAAATATATATATTTAATTATAGCTTGATTCCACATCGTATTTTTGGTACAAGTATGCCGAAAAGTCTACGCCTCAGAAGTTCAACTTCTTTGAACATAGCCATAAGCTGGCCTCTGGTTGATACGCAATACCAAATCGACACATATACACAACATTTTAAGATGGTGAAAGGAAAAAGCACTTCACAAATACCGTGAGCTTCTGAAGCTGTTGCCATTCGAAGAGTAGAGCAGGAATTATGTTCCAAAAGAGAACTATTACTAACTTATTACCTACTACCTGGGTGAGCAGTGACTACTCCAGTTAGGTTTCACTTTTAATAACTTACCTTGATATTTGCATTCATCTGTTTTCGTACTAATTTTATTAGTACTTCTGTTATCTTTGGGCTTTCTCGTTTTATATGAATAACCCTTCAAATGATTACATTTAGTTATCTCCACTTATATATTAATTACTCTTCAATTCCAGGACACTGCTGTCTTTCCAGTATACATATATATATATAATAACATATATATATAATGTCTCTATTCTGGTCATAATGTATTATCCTAACTTCCTGCATAATTAGTATGTCGTCTTCGTTATAAAAACCAACTTACTATTCAGCTAAAGTATGTCTGAATTATGCATGTCATATTTATTACATAGACAATTTATTACTCAGATAGTATTCCGCTGACGAAAACTCTATGAAATAGAATGAATTCATCATATCAAACACAAGCTGCTCCTCTTATTGCGTTATTCAAATTTATTGATGGAAATAATTCCCTGGCATTTTGATTATTGAAAACATTTATTTCCCGATACGAATTTAAAACAAGCAATAAAGGTTAATAAACAAGGATTTAATGAATTCATCAAATTTCGGTAGAACTCGTCAGCTGCTGAATACTCTACATACACGGATATATATTCTTTCGAAATTACATTGGGAGAAATAAGACTGCTAAGTAAACAAACTACATTGAATTAGCCATACAGGAAGACAGGTGCGAATGTTTTCCAGATCATGTTCAAATAGATAAGGGTAGAGAGAGTATGAGAGATCAAAATTAAGATAAATTGCATTACGCTTCAATTGCATCACTTAGATAAACAATTAGACATTAGAGAATTTAACAAGAATTGCAACCAGAGGGATGTCAATAGTAATACTTATAATAACAATAATAATAATAGTGTTGAAGTGAGTTAAGATAATGCTACTGATAAAGGATTGTTTTAAATGCATCAAGAATAATAATAAGTAAAACGTATTGCCATGGTACATTCAGAGTCACGACCATCTCCTTTTGTACACAGAGACCTAGTTTATAAACTTGAATTGCACAAGCCTCTGCAATTGCAAGCATCTTCTTGTTTCTTTGTCTGCTGACAATAGTGAATGACTTGACCGCGTCGATATCATGTCCATAATCCACAAGATGTTTTGTTATTGAGGATTTTGGCACTTTGCACTCAGCTGTTTTCAACCATTTTGGCAAATGCCCCATCATGCTCCATCATTACTATTATTATTATTATAACTATTACTATTGATATTACTCTGTTTGCAATTCTTGTTATATTCTCTAATGTCTAATTGTTTATCTAAGTGATGCAATTGAAGCGTAATGCAATTTATCTTAATTTTGATCTCTCATACTCTCTCTACCCTTATCTATTTGAACATGATCTGGAAAACATTCGCACCTGTCTTCCTGTATGGCTAATTCAATGTAGTTTGTTTACTTAGCAGTCTTATTTCTCCCAATGTAATTTCGAAAGAATATATATCCGTGTATGTAGAGTATTCAGCAGCTGACGAGTTCTACCGAAATTTGATGAATTCATTAAATCCTGCTTTATTAACCTTTATTGCTTGTTTTGATTATTATTATCATTATCTATAATACAACAAAGTAGACATGATAAAGCTGATTGCTTGTATTTATAATCATCTATGCTTAAAAGCTTTAAGTCAGCCTCCTTTATGCTTAATTATGCCCGTTTCCTGAATCTGAAACAATAACCATCAACATTTTCTTATAATTCGGGGACTACTTGCCAAGACGGATAACTTGAAAAATAATATCCAGTGTTGGTACACTTGTGCCATTTAATGCAATAATTTAAAATAACCAAGTTTACTGATAAAAGCAAGTGAAACACATGCATAAAACAGAGAGGAAAATATTTTTTTATGGTCAGTTTATTTATATCCAATTGACATTTTTATTTTTCTATCTGGTAAATCTAGAAGTGAATGAAGGAAGACAAGTATATCCACAAACAGATAATAATAAAAACTACACAAAGTTGCATCAGATATCTTTATGCTGACAACTAGAAAAGCAGAAAAAAAGAAGCATGAATCTAATCTAAATTTTGTCCTTATAATAAAAAAGTATCGCAGGATAATGATTGAGCTGATGTCTTAATTTAGTTACAGAAACACAAGTGTAATAAATCTTAATAATTATTGGTGAGACTATTAAAGACAGCTTTGTGGTTATAGGCGGATACAAAGTTGACACAAAGTCATTGAAGTCTGGCGGCCTTCAGCTTCTAAATGACAATTCTTGTTGTTTACTAAGGATTTACTAAGGTACAAAATTCAACTGCCCAGTAGACCTTACATCCGGTTCAATCAACAAGAGTCTACTCTTACTGTGTCTTGTAAATAGCGTGACTGGGATACAAAGACTTGACTGAGCGGCTACAATAATGAATAATAAGCTACGCGCGCACACACACACACAGGTAAATCATTTTAAAACCTGAGCGGAACTCTGTATGTCTGAAGTAACATTATAGAAGAGACTAGCGAAAAATTTATTTAGCTTGGCTGAGAATGAATGTCACTCAAAGGCAGAGGATTCCGATACTACTACTACTACGATTCATATTTGTTTAAAACCATTAGTTCCCTTAATGAATTCAGATAAAGCAATAAGATGACGTAATTTGTCTCGATCGTGTAATGTGTATTTGCACAACGCTCATTTCGAACAATCTGATCACACACGCACTTGTCATAGGAAGATATATGAAATTAATAAAGAGGTAAGAAGTAAGCAAATAAATTTAGGTCAAGTTAAAGGGACATATTCAAGGTCAAAATAACAATGAAGATGACTAAATCAAATAACAGAGGTAATAGTACATCTGCTCTGGTATCAAAACAAAGTTAACCAAGGAAGGTCTATTGTGATGACGAATTGTTGCTTTGAACGCATGAAGGTGTCCCAAACTTCCTAATTGCCAGCTAGGGTTTCTACAAACTTTAGGATACGCCCTACCCCAAACATGTTTTATAGATAGGTTAAAAAGACGTGTAAACATCAATTTTATGTCCTGTCTCTGTAATATGTTTCGCAATAGAGGAGCTAGGTCTCCTGTTATTACCACTAATGGGGGTTCTTTTACTTCATTATTTTTCGTAATTAGAATATAACTCCGGACAGGTACACTGAATTATGATTTATATCTGCTGAGTACTATTCAAGAACTGACTATTCGATAATATATGACAATGAAGTGGGGATTTAACCCCAACCATCAACACCCCAAACATGCCAAAGTTTCATGACAGTTTAGTTTTCGAGAATGCTGATTAATAAATATAGAATGAAAAACAACTACAAATTTTCTGAATTGATTGAATTTCATCAAAAATTACAGGATTCATAGTTTTGTCATTTGTATAAAAAGATCAGATTTAAAAGCTGTCTGGACATTCTAGATATTTTTAAATCATAACTGAACTAACCGCGCTATATCTGTAAGAAACTAAGAAGTTAGATGAACAGTTCACTTTTCTAAGGAAAGCTATCCCCACAAATTTATCAAGAAACACATGACAAAGAAATCGGAAAAGGACTACTCACTATCTGTAAACAAGAAGCCCCTTTATATACGACTACAATTCATGAGCGATATACCAAGCGAAATAATTACGAAGAAATTAAGGAAATTAGTTCAAAGAACTTATAATGCTGGCAAACTACACGTCTTATTCTCTGCACGACCGATGGTGCTACCTAGACTGAAAGATGAAGTACCTAGACTAGCCACTTCAAACTGTATCTATCAATTCAACTGCGCTTGTGGTGGAGCGAGTTATATTGGCCGTTGCTCTAGGAACTTGATTTTTCGTGCTCGAGAACATATCCCAATATGGCTAAGTAAAGGTGTAGTTAAAACTATTAACAGCTCGATATTAGACCATCTGGTGCAAACCGGTCACAAAGCCAGCGTAGAAGAATCCTCCTCTATAATATATCGGGTGCCTAACAAATTACCAAAATCGTCGAAGCACAGCATACTCCAAACAGCAGAAGCTATTGCAATTCGCCTCAAACAACCAGTCCTCCGTGTAGAAACTATAATTCATGAATTTGTATTGTTATCTTTCCTAATTTTTCTGACATTCAGCTTATTTTATGTTGATGCTGTTCAGCTGTAATTTATCAATATTATTGTTTTGATGTTATTTAAACATTAATGTCATTCATAACACTAATTCATTCATTCACTACTATTATGTATACATAACTGTAGAGCCTGATGATGAATTTATCGAAAAGAGTACTCTTTGTTCAGAATCCATTCTTTTGAAAATTTTAATGGGCATTTTTAATCAGTTAAAGCTGTTATTGATAATTTTACGGAGTCAGAGTGTTCGATCACGTTCCAGACTTCACTTGGAAATTTTGATCAGCAGATAATTTAAAACAACCACATCAATTACTGTTTAGTCAATAACTTCTGTAACTAGGAAAAACTAAACCTTGAGACATTATGGAGTTGGAAGGACTGAATAGCTGGTGTAATTTACTTCAAAAATATGTTTTGGAGAAACATAAAATTAATTCCTAAGAGGCCAATCAACCATTAACTGATAGGATAATTTTTTTCATCCGGCCCAAAAGTCATATCCCATAAATACTATGGATAAATACAACGAACAATACTGAAGAAGGCGGCATACGTAT